TGTACTAGCAATTGGGCTAGTTATACCATGTATATGTGGTAATATTACTGTATTATTAATTTTTTATCATTGACACTGGTTAATCTAGTACATTGCTTAATAACAATTGAATTGTTTCTTTTTTTGTATTGTGTGTTCAAAGAGGTCAACATTATAACTTGTATTATTAGCAAAACTTTTCACATAATTCAAATCGTTTTTCAGATTGCTGGAAACAGAACAAATTTTAAGTACTCTATCTATATAACTATGAAATGCTGCTAGTTTTTGAGAAAATGGGTAACATTATCTTTGATATGCATTTTAACTGTGGACCTTATTTTTAATCTTAAAATGCTACCATGTTCCTTCTTGTGTTTTGATCCTTTCACACATAACTAGAGCATTAAAGAAACTAATCTTAAAGAAAGATAAAGTATGACAACGCCAACAAAATATATAAAGAAAAAACAGTTGTTTACTCTTAAGACCCATACAGATTACCAATTAATACATAAAACATGAAATACTTTTAAAGATTCATATATCTGCAGTAGTGCATATCCAATAAAAACTAATCAAAGGTACAAAAAAATCAGAAGTGACAAATGATTAATTTTCTATTACTCCTAGCAGTTAACATACCTGAATTGCAGGGAATACTCCATTACTAAGTATACAGGCCCAACCTTGAAGAATTAAAAGAAAAATAATTATTTCTCTTCTCTTCAAGTATGATAAGTGCTTTTGACTTCTATAATCAGCAACAGTGGTCTGGGTTAGTTCAGTTTTAGGATGAGAAGCTTCTGTTTGGCTCATCAAATACGTTGATGTTCCACATACAGGAGCACATGCTTCATAATCTGACAAATGACATGAAATATCTTCACATCCTACTCTATTGTTGACATTCTCTGGTGTATCCTCCTCTTGTGATGTTAGAATAGAAACATTAACTGACTGTGATGCAATTACATTATTTTTTTCAGCTGAGTAGGAGTCCTGAAATGAAGTAATTCACATATAATTTCACACTAAAGTATATATTTTCTTTTATTATAAACTATTTAATACCATAACAAAATTAATAAAACATATTAAAACAAAAATGGAATAACAACATTTCAACAAATGGTACAAATTATTATACATGATTTATAAAACTAAGTAGCAATTAGTCAGTAAAGGTAGAATTGATGAGATGAATTTAATATTGATTTTCCATGAACTCGTCATGGAATAATAGGATAGTTTCTTACTATATCATACATAATTCTTGTACATTTAAATAGTTTAACAGTGGCTTCTGAGCATGAAGTAAAATGTTTGATGCCTGTTACATTTATACTTTTAGCTATCACAACACTCATGTAATGTTAACTTTAATATGTAACGTTCCTTACTAAGTATCACTGTGGAAGTAGGTTTCTCTAATCCTTTTTCTTTTTATAACATAATTGCATTCTGTCAAGCTAATGAACTATAAAAAAATCATCTTCATTTTAAAAATTATGTCAAAGCAATCTTACAGTCTTATTACTCACTTTATGACAACAAGCTTTAAAACTTTTGACTGTATAAGTAAGGTTGTGGCACACACACCTAGCTGATTCATGACATATGGATATCCTCCTCTATAGCTACACCATGCTACATAGCTACATCATATGCCCCTTTCCTCATAGTTAAAATTCTCAACTTGTGGAATACTTAAAAGATTTTCAATATACATAACAGTATTTAACAATTCTATAATAAAAATGGACAGAATGGTATCTGTTGCTTACCATTTTACCAATATAATTTTCCACTATCATAATATCCAAAAATAACCACACTTCATTCAAAGTTTAAACATTTGTGTGATGAATGGTATGAACTGAATATCCTGTGACTAATGTATGTAAAAGAAAATAACAGAATGTGCACTTTATGATGAACTTATCATTTGATGAGCTTTATCAGTATTAATTTAACTCATAACTAAATCTGTGCTTGAGACATCATCATTACAGTTTATCACTGTCAATTTATAACATTAATATAATTTTTGTAAATATGTACACTAAAATTGTGATACTTATTGTTGACAATCAAATTGCTTTATGTGCCTTTCACGATTCATGTGACCAACACAATTCTCTTCTTAATAGTCTTGAAGAGTCTCTTATTTAGTATATTTGATCCCCCCAAAAACAATTATCACCAAAAATGACATATACATATCAACAGTACAAAAAAATTGTGTTAAGTTAAAACCATAATTTTCTAGCATTTCCATTTTGTTTTCTGTATTTTTTTAATTAATTTATTTCTTTGAAGATAAATTTGTTGCTTACAACTTTACATGCAACTGTACTTAAATACAAGAGAGAGAAACTAAAGTGCATTATTTCTAAAAATAAAACCTTTATTTTGGATTTTTTTTTCAAACTGTCTTATTTACTCCCAGATTACTTGTATGAATCTTTCATATAAAATAAATGTCCTTTCTAGTTTATAGTATGTGAATAATAGAATGTGATTTTGTATCAATACTGAATTTCTTTATTTTCATATCTTTACAAACAGAATTATCTCATTATTTCACAAGTCATCATGGATCCTGATTCTTGCTTAGTTTATTGGTACTTGTTGTCAAGATAGTATAATAAGTCTCTTGTAAGTTTGATATACTTTTAATATGGTATGTTATTGAAAAAACAAAATATGCTACGATTGTTTATATTCTAGCTGTTTTCATTGCAATAAAAAATACAGTTTCAAGCAGTTGAGCTTGTAACTTAGATTTTATGGAAATGTGTAGAGTGAAAAACAGAAGACTGAAAGTGAAGCCTAAGAATCAGAGCTCTGTGTAGCTATTTGGGCTAATCTCCCTTACATTTAAATATCTTAAAAGTAGACATTACAACACCTAGAAATAAATAACTACTCATTTAATTACCAATCATATGAATAAAAAGAAAATTATCAACTTTAGCTATTTCATTGCTCTTTTATAAATCTATTAATATAAAATAGTTTTAAAGATCACCTTTCTAATTTAGAAAATCTTACAGGCAAACACATAAAAAGCATCTTTAGATTTATTACCATTTCGTTTTTTGCCACAGGAAGGACATTTAGAAGAGTAAAAGCAGCCCAGCTGACGATCATCATTCCCATCAAGAAAAAGAAGAAATCTTCTGGTGGAAAATTTGGTGGTGTTCGATAAGGAACCATTTTATAAGTCATATTTTCAAAGTTGGTATTATTAAAAGAGACATTCCTACATTCGGGATTACCTCCAACCCCTTGGCCTAATGCCACCAAGCTGGGTAGAAAACCACTCATACCCTCCCCAATAAGAAAAGGGGTTAAATACTGCTCTTTAAAATGTGCCATAAAAGGTAAAAAGACAACAGATGAAGTACAATCTACAAGTGATAAGAAAAACACAAGAACAAGAAGCATAATACTATGATTAGCTCCACCAAAATAAAGAGTCTTGGACCAAAAGAAGCCTAACAAGAGGCAAGCTACAACTCCTATTGTCATCATGAAATGTACAGTGGAAATTTCTAGTGATTTTCTTCCACATAGCGTTCTTGCTATGGAATAGGATATTGGTCCAATGTTGGCAATTTGAATGATAACAGCTAGGTATGAAGCAAGATTCCATTTCTCTGGTAAGTCCTGAACTAAAAGAGGTAACTCTACCCACAGTCCATTAATTGCTATCCAAGATCCAATACCAAATAAAACAGTCAAAGTTTTGACAAATATGCAGGACAATGACAAGTTAACCATTCTGAAGACTGATAATCTGCAAGCAAATCTTCTTGACGACTTAAGACTGCTTCAATCTGTGAAATGATCACAAAATGTAACTCATTACTATATAATACAAAACATGAAAAAAAAATTTTCCTGTACATATTTGCCAGAAAAAACAAAACAAAATTTCCTCCTGAATTTTATAGAGAATAAAATAACTCTTTTCAAATATTTTCTGAATTACTGAATCTACATATTGCTGCATTTTATATTAAGCATAAAAATCACAATTCATTTTAAATTTGTTTTTATCAAATGAGTGTTTCATAAAATCACTTGTAGTTGGCATTTTCACTTGCATACTATACGTAAATGCATTTTTTTTTCTTGAAGTGACTGGCAACAAAAATATTGTTTTCAAAACTCGAAACTATCATTTATTGAAAGATTCAAGCCATCTAATTACTATTTATATCCTATCCATTCAGCTTCTTACATTGACACTTCACTAACAGACATTGATGGGTACATTCTAGAACAAAATTTGAAAAACGTAAATAAAAAAAATATGTTTTTCAAAAATAAACCTTTTCTACTCCCTTAAGTTTAATTTGCTTAATTCATCTATATTAGATCTATTGCTTGCTCTCTCTCTCTCTATCTATATATACTGAAGTATGTATCATGAGAGAGTGACAGCAAGTAAGAGATCTAAGGCTAGGTATTTCCAAAGAGTTACTTTTTATGGAAAGCTTCTGCAAGAAAATAACAAGGGCATTTTTTGCTCTTAATTTTTAATCATATAAATTTAATATTAGGGAATTACATACAGTGATTATCTCAATTCTTTCAATGTTACTTTCTTAACAAATACTACCTTCTCACCTTCCATTTAAGTGTTTGAGTTTAAAAATCTCTAATTAATGCTGTTCAAAAGATATATTCATTACAATTTACAATGAAACACAGCTTCAGCTACTAGATGATAAGTTTGCTTCACACACAAATAAACATGTATGATATCTTCATTCAAATAGAGAAAAAGAAAACTAGGGAAATGCAACACATACTTACAAGTAACATAACATAATGTTTAAGGACAACAAGTAACCTACTGGTCCATCTTAGCTGTCCCATCCTCTAAACTAAATTAAAACTACTAAACAAATAAATTTTAAAAAACCTTAAAGCCAGCCCTTATCATTAATATAGTTATCAAGCTTTCTCTTAAACTCACTTAAATTTACTGCATCCACAACATCTAAAGGAAATCCATTCCAGAGACTAATCACCCTACTAGAAAAATAAAACTGTCTTAGCTGAGGACGACTCCTACCTTGCCCAAATTTATATTTGGGTCCCATAGCCCTACTATTCTCATCATTGAGTATGAAAAATGATAATACATTAACACTATTAATTCCCTTTACATTTTTAAACACCCCAATTACATCCCCTCCAACTCTTATTTTTTCCAGAGAAAGCAATTTCAGAGATCTTAACCTCTCCTCATATGACAACCTCTCCATCCTAGTAGCCCTCCTGTAAGCACTTTCCAACAAATCAATGTCCTTCCTAAGGTAAGGAGCCCAAGACTGAACACAATACACCAAACTGGTCTAACCAGTGACCTATACAATGAAATTATAACCTATTTAGATTTGTATTCAATATTTCTGTAGATACAACCTAAAATATTATTTGCCCTACTGCTAACAACAGCACACTGCTTGGATAATTTAAACTTAAGTTAAGGCAGTCTTAAGAGACTGCTCAATCATTACACCAAGATCTCTTTTTTTTTCATGACACTGTGTTAGGGTTATTTCCATCCAAATTCTACTTATATTTCATATTAAGATAACCCAAATGCATTATCTTTTATTTATTATAATTATAACCCATCTGCCATTTATTTGCCAAACAACTCACAAAATAATCTAAATCCTTTTGTAAAGTAGCAACAAATTTAAGTAACTTACTGAACAATCCTTCAACTGTCACTGATGTAAATCAAAAAGAGTAAAGGTCCTAAGACTATAATTATTGAAGAATATTTTAAAGACATTTGTATGATTAAAAAAATTTTAAAACATAGCTAACATTACTACTTTGACATAGAGAACTGGAGAGTAAACTGCATTTACTATCTTGCTCTATTTTAACAGTTGCATCATTTTGTGGCATAACACTTGTGCAATTGTGCTGAACAATAAGAGTTAGACCGAGCCCTGATGAACGCCCCTTGTTACATTAATCAAGTTTGACTGAATTCTAGTTATAACATGACATGCATACGTATATAAGTATGAGGTAAAAAAATGCATTTCCCATTGCCAGTGCTAGACAGAATATGAATAACGTTTTTATTTTTTAAGTATTAACCTTATGCGAGATCAGATAGTTTACTAAGTAGAACTTTACTAAGTTTATAATTAATATTAATAATATTACCATTAGCGTATTCGCTTAGTCACTCAAGTTTGTAACATAGTGAATATCAAATACTTTTACGGTAAAGCCTCAGTATATATCTTTTGTGGTTTTATTGAATAATATTAAAAATAAAGGCCTTTAGCTTAAGACAAGTTAAGGTTAACGATTCATGAATCCCCCCATTCCTTTACTTAATAATAATAGTATTACTATTACAGTATTAATACTATTAATTTCTACGAAACAAGTTAAAATCCTATTTATAGTTCTACTCCAGACAGATTCTGATGAGTAACTAAATTTTTATTTTGAAGTTTATACTTTTCTGGGCATAAAGTGGAATAATGCAAGTTAGTTTTTGAAAAACAAAATAATTAAGTAGCTAATACCTAACGTTGATGGTACTGTAGTAGTCTGAACAGGTTACAACATGATTAGACACAATCTGATAGCTATAGTATATTATATGTTCGATGTTGTTTTCAATGTAACCACGATGCACCTTTTTAATTTTATATCTATCTATGAGGCAAAGTTGTTAAATAATCTGAGTTTTGTTTTTGCTATTAATCACTAAGCTATTGAGTACCTGTGCTATACTCACTGCGGGTATCCAAATCCGAATTTTCGAGTTATGAAACCTAAAACTTGCCATAGAGCCACCAAGGAGGTGGGGGGGGGCATAGAGAAAAACGGTTGAGTAATTTTATATATGACGAAATCACATTGCTAGAATGACATCACTCGACTGATTTTTCTTTTATTTTCCTTACGTGGCTGAAGACATTAAAAGTGCGCATGTGTAGTATCAGGCTTGACCATCGTGTATCAAAATAATTGTGGTAGAAGGTTAGAATAATCTTCCTTGTAACTTCGGTTGTTTTTTTGATAAATAAATAAATAGATAATATATTTGAGGTATAATAACAAGAAATATGTAATGCTGGTAAAAATAGCTCATTGAACATTGTTTCTGTTATACAACTCTGTTTTTATTTGCTACTGAGTTATAAAACAAAATATTACTGTTACAAAAAGCTTACAAAAATAGCACTGTCCACAAAAGTAAAAATTTATAATTGTCTCGATATTTTTTACAGTTATTTCATGAGCTGTACTCCATTATTTTCAACTCATTGTCTGGTATTCAAGTATACTGATGTATGGGTGTTAGCAGAGGGAGCGCGGAGGGTGCAATCGCACTTCATAAATTGCACCTATATATGTATAAAACATATTGTTACGCCTCTGGTTGTTTGTTAATTTCCCATAGAAATTCTTTCTGAGAAACTTCAGCGATACAAGTCCTTTCTTAATTAAAACTAGTTTATTCTTTCTCGATACAACTTTGCAATACACTTAATTTCCACAGTCACTTTAACTTAACACACGCTATAATTCACAGCGATTCACACACTTTACTTACGGTCACTACCGCTCGATTGATTCAATTATCTGTCTCTATTTCTGCAATCATTTTCCGGGCTTATATACTAAGATAGAGGGCGTCTGGCAAACACTCGGGCCTTCATAATCCTTCTAGAAACTCATCACGTTTTACCAGCGTCACGTGACTTCCGCTATCGTAACAATATCTAAAACGTTCTAAAACAACCTCAAAATCTCAGACGGAACTAGTGCGGAGCATATGGGGCAATGCCCCAGGGCCCGCGACGCCTTGGTGCTTGGTCTTATCGTGTTAAAAAAGGGGCCTCGATCATTCTTTGCTCCAGGCCGGGCCCCTGAACTGTTTCTTCCGCCACTACCTCAGATGTGATCAAAAGACGTCATTTTCAGGAAAATTTTAAAAAAATTCCGAGGGGACATATGGCCTCGGATCCCTCAGTATGGTTTCACTACTCATTTCCTTTTTCCTCCAACAGTAACACCCCCCTTGAGAACTTTTTGCCTATGCCCACCTCTCTATAGATTTCTGTCTTTGCCCCTGCTAGTGTCCAATACAAAAGCCAAAAGCTCCCGTCAAAACACGGGCTTGGAATTGATAAGCGGAGAATGAACTTAACAAAGCGAGCAAAGAAAAAACAAATATAGTTTGTTTGTCTAGTAGTTAAGGACAAAGCTAAACGATGGACTATCTTTTCTGTGCCCACCACGGGTATCAAAACCCAATTTTTTAGCATTATGCGCCTTCAGAGTTACTGCTGTCTACTGGGGGCAAAGTGAACAAATAAAGCAAACTATTTATTCATAATAAAATGTAGTATATTTTACTTACTGGCCAGCTTACAATTTCCTATAGCATAAACACAGAACAAAGACCAGAAGAATTCTGATACACCCTACTTTCAAATCAGAGAATGGGCCAGAGTGTGGTATACCATAATTCCAAGCTGCATACGTCATAGCTTATTACAAGTAAGATATACAGGAAAGAAGACCTCTAACTCATAGCAATTTGTACAAGTATCTATGTCACCTCTTGCGATTGCTTCACCTCCTACTTCCAAGAAACAGAGTGGTACAACTTCTAGCTCTTGTCGTGTTCGACTTTGAGTTGTGCCTTGTTGGAGACTTAGTTTTGATCTTTAATTTATTTTTTCTTGTAACATAATCTGGAGTTGATCAGTATCGTGCCTGCTGAACTCTTACACTTATACTATTACACTCTATCAATCTTCAACCAGATTTCTTCCTAGTAATATCTCTAGACAGTCAGAGGGGAGCGCTATTTGTTATGTGTGTGCTCTCTTCTTGACTTGTGCTGTGAGTAAATAAAGATTATTTTTACTTTGTTTTACATTGTGTTCTGTTCATTTCTTTAACTCTGTCAAGTCAAATATTCAGTTGTAAACTCCATATAACATTATCTTTAACAGCTACTATTCTTGATAACTTTGATTCATATAAGTAAGGTAAAGCGAGTGATACAAGTAGGTCGTAGTATAGCTTGCAGAGCGTAGTCAGTGTTTTCCTTCTCCTTTAGTTTAGGCAGGTGAACATTTTATATTCACCAAGAATTTTCCCTTTTTTTCATATATATACTTGTTTCTGCTTGTGTGCATAGTTTTGACAATAGAATGTTGATCAAGGAAAATGACTAAATCACTTTTGCTCTCGTTACCTGTTGTTTCGGGCCATTCACGTGTTCTTTCGCGTGGGAAATACTACTGTGTAATGCAATATGTTACGTAAGATTGAACAGTGACCTTTTCATTAGGTGGATCAGATGACACCTTAAAATTGTATCCTCTCTGTTTTTCTATTGGAACGACCAACAGTGACAGGTAGTGCCTGAAAGAGTTGGCACTGTAGAATTTTGTATATAGTGTTGTACGCTCTGAGATATGTGCAACAACCATTTATTTATAATAGAACACAATTTTAAATAAAAGAACTCTCCTCACAACAAGAACACGACTTTCACTAGGACTGTACATGATAGTTCGATTATATCTTTATTGGTGTACTTTTTATATGTAGTACTGAAAAACTGGAGTTCTTAAAAAACTATTATTTTTTCAATAAGCGGTACAACTTTTAATATATAAAACATTACAGTTTGTATCAGTGAAATTTATGAAAAAATTTAGCTCTGGATATTGAATCATTTTGATGCAATGAGTTGCGTGTGACTAAAGAACACAATCCGAATACTTTTCCCATACAGTACTTCCCAGAAAAAAAATTCTTTTTTAGAAAATGTTCACTTTTCTATATTTTTTTCCAATGAGGTATGGACATTACGATTAGTAATTATGAGCATAAATCAATAGGAAAATCGTAGAATACGTTTTGTAATAAATACATTGTGAGAACTAACTGTGTTTTTCTTAAAATTACTGGTACTAATTGTGGCAAGATCGCTAGAAATCACTCGAAGTTTTATGGTTCAACTAATCTTCAACAGCATACACACACACACACACATATATATATATATATAAGACAGACACACACACATATATATATATATATAA